AATCTTTCTTCGCTTTTCCACCCCCCTCCCTGTTACATTAGTACCTTCCCACTAGTGAAGTATCATTTTCCTGGCTTGAAAAATCAGTGTGCACCATTTCAGACCGGTGTTCCTACAGTGATCTGTTCAATGGGGCAATCTGACTTAGTCTAGACAGGTGAGCATGAAAATGCTTCTGTTGAGAAAGGAGGCTAGATGCTGGAGATAACAATGTACCAAAAGTCTACTGAAAGTGAAAGCTGTGCACCATCAGGATACTCTCCACTGTTCTGTGCCTGTGCAGGAGGGAAGCCAACCTGCACCTTCTGCTCCCTCCAAGTGTTTCCTGCAAAGCGAAAAACAAAACGGAAACAGTAAGCTGGTGGTTGCATTGTTTCAGAAGCAATGCTCCGTGGGAGGAGCACTGAGAAGAATTATTTTGTGTACCTGGTATTTCATGTAAGATGCCAGGATTCCCAGCCCTTACGTGCACCAGAAGCACGTAAGTGGATGTCAGTGAGTCTTCGAGTACCTTTCCCCTGCTCTGTCTCCTGCCCAGAAGCAGCCTGCTCAGGTTCCCCACACATTTCTTCAGGGCTGCCGTTCTGAAGACAGCATCACCACTGTCACCCTAGTGAGCGCTGGCCCACAGAGGCACAATTGTCAGACATCCAACACTTAAGTCACCCCCTTTTTAATGCCATTAGTGATGCAGCAACATGTATTTATATTTACATATAAATACAGAATGGGCAGATACCACATTTTAAAGCATAATTTATAATCTAAAACTGCTTACACTTTCATGACTAGGCTTGAGTTTTTTTCTCATTTACATTCATAATTTCATTCCACTGGAATTTGATTTTTAAGAAAGCCCAACATATCTTAATTATCATAAAAAGATCCATACATATTTTACTTAAAAATATCTTCTGTAAGAGGAAATTTACCAAAAATAACACGAAATATATTATTATGCATACATACTTTTTTTTTTGTAAAGTACAAACAAGAATCTGATCTCTTCTGGGTATTGCCTGATCTAATATGGCTATAGGTTCTATTTATTTTGTTTGTTTTTCAAAGTAAAGGGAAAAACGTAAGAAATGCAAGAACACAAACCAAAATAAAAATGCATTCTTTCCAAAGATACATATATCAATGAAAGAACACTTTGAAAACCAATAAATGACAATAGGTACAAAGAAACACTATCCAAGCACTATGCAGTCTTTTGTCAGAGCATGTGCTGCAGTGACCTTGTAACAGCTATTAAAAACAAACAAAAAAATGCTACTGGCAAAAAAAGCTGTCTAGCAAAACACTGAAAAATTGGTACTATTTCCTAACAAGTAAGTGCAGTACTGATAGTAAGTATTTTACGGTTTTTTCCTCCCAGGTATGCACACTTCCTTCTTCCTCTTTCTGTTCGCAGGACTGATTGTTGCAACTCTGGCAATATGCTGGATGCCAAACCAGGTCAGAAGGATCATGGCTGCGGCTAAACCGAAGCAGGACTGGACCGTCCCCTACTTCAGAGCGTATGTCACTCTTCTTCCCATTGCCGACATCTTCTTCTACCTCAGCTCGGTGGTGAACCCCCTCCTGTACAACATCTCTTCTCAGCAGTTCCGCAGCGTGTTTCTGCAGGTGCTGCGCTGCCGCCTGACAATACAGCATGCCAACAAGGAGAAGTTTCTCAGAGCCAACCTGAGCTCCAGAGCAAGGAGCAGCCGGTCTCTGCGCCCACTGCTCTTCCTTTCGTCTATGCGCAAGTCTTCTACACGGAGCAATAACAAAGTTTTCTTGAGTACTTTTCAGAATGAGAGTCAGCCTGCAGACCCTGACTGCAGCCTGCAGAAACCAGGTCTTGAGGGGCCGGAGCCCAGCTTGGAAGCAGTGCCACTAGAGACAAGCTCAGAGCCCAGTCCAGACGCACAAAACGGCCTTTGTGAACATCAAGTATGACTTCATAAGGCAAAGTTAATGATTAGCAATGAACTTAAAAACATGCAAATTAAGATGACTGAGGAACTGACTACATCTTAAAAGGAACAACACAGATGGATTTGTTTCCAGTTATGCAAAAAGAGCAGGCGTTCTGTATCCTGCTGCTGGGATTTTTAAGGGCACACTGGAAATTGAATCTGCTAACTGAATTCATTAGCTGCCCAAAATACCAGCCCCTCTCTGCCTACAGCCACTGAACTTCCTTCACTGTTGGCAGGGATTTGGAAACAAACAGAAAATAATTGCAGTCTCTGAAGAAAGGAGGAGACGGAAAAAACTGTCAGGGTAAAAAACTTCCTTAAAGTTTATCAATATAAAAACAAAAGAGCCAATTTAAGGAGCAGAACGGTGGTTATTATGTGCGCCCTCGGCACCATGCCAGAATTCCCTCTCTTCCTCGGCCGGGGTCCGTTGCAGAGTGGCGTGTTGCAGCAGCTGATACAAACAGAGTTCACCTTCCCTGGAGAACAAAAGGACTGGTACCCAGCAGAGGCTATCAGACACGCAGGTGAAGACGCGCAGGATTTGCGATACATGATTCCTGTGACACAAAGCAAAGGTTACTCAGTTTGATACAAACACAGTTTTGCTTTACAACACACTTCATGCTTGAAAACTGCTGCAAAACCAGTTTACATCTCCAAAGCAATGCACCTCAGCTGTGACGTGGCTAAGAGCTCTGAGCTGCAGGAGAATCATAGTCAGTTGAGTTTGGATTTTTCTTGTATATCATTCTGGTTGCAACCAAAAATATCACAAACTTTACATAATGTATATCAAATGATGCATTTTATAACCAGAATTCTTCATCTTTTGGAATAAGCTGTTTGAATAGCTATAACTGAAATGCAGTTAGTTCGAAAATGACTTTTGTTTCTGTTGCTCAACATGTCTGAGATGTTTAAAGTGTTCCAAGTTTTCTACGCTGTTAATTTGACTTTTGAGCATTCTTTTTTTCCTTTTCTTGTTCATTTGCTACACAGAGACAAGGAACCAAGAGAAACGGAGAACGACTATCAGCAAAATTTTGTCTCCCCTCCCTCCCTTTTTAATTTTTTAAAGACAAACTAGAAGTGTTTTTCCAGGTAATCTCAGTTCTTGCCGTCTTTGAAGCTTAATACCCTCAACAATAAAAATTTCTGTTTGTACTGAAATGGCTTTTCTGAGAAAGTCTTCCTTTCTTTTAGTTAATCATCTAATTAAGTTTATAATTTCTCAAATTGTTTTTTTACCTGAAAAAAGTACATTCTGATGCACATAGCTGTTATTTTAAAATAATTTATAAAGGCTTTCAAACACATAATTGCATTTTCCTTTGTCACAGGGGAAAAGACTTGTGGCAGTTCTAGCTCTCATTACTCTAAAATCTCCCTGCAAGTGATACAGTAGAAATTGTGTGTTGGAAAAACCAAGACATAACACATAAATAGATAACACAGGTTTGCTCGTATTGCCTTGTGGTTACAAAAAGAGGTAAATGTTTCTAAGAATAATAAAATCATTATTCCTTTTGAATATGGGATTCTCAAAAGTTTGGTTTTGTGTTGGTTTTTTCTTCTGAAGGGCATGGGAGCAGCATTCCCTCAGAGAGCAGTGCCACTGCAAACTTGCAGCACAGTCCCAGGATGTTTTTAAATACAACGCGATCAAGACTTTTTTTGAAGGGAGTGAAGCAGGAATATAACCTGCAGGTACTGGACAGTACTTGCAGATATAGTTCAGTCCCCAGGGGCTTCAGAAATAAGCATTACAGCACCTACACAGTCCAGTAGATACTTCTGCAGTAGCGACTGCCACTGCATTACTACTGGCTGTGTATAGCAGCAAAACACTGTTTGGGTTATACTTAGAAAGAAGGATTTCCTGTCTTCAGAGAATTTTAATTAAAGCAATTCTTTTATACTGTCACAACATTGCTGCCATCCCACCAATGCAGGGGTTTCCCTGTTTTGTGTTCTCCCTCTGCAAATCTACACTCGGAAACGTGTTTTAAGGCTATCTGTCTAGTTAAACTTAGGAAGAGAAGCCCTCAAGTCAGTGTTAAATCTTCCTGTCTCCAGTGAGCTTCAATCAATCAACACAGCAGGTAGAGCCTTTTCTCAAGAAGGAAGAGGAGCTACAGGCTGTTCTAGCTGTAACAGCAAAGGCGCACAGATCAAGAGGCACGATCTTTATTACTATAGTTTGCACAAAGAAGGGAGCTCTGTCTCTGTTGACAAACCACTGCTGTCAAGGAGCTTCAACTGTGCTGCGACTGATTGGCTTACAATACTGAAATCTCAGCTGATGTTTCCCACAAAGACCTGGTGCTTTGTCCATGTTCCTCCTGCAGTCTTCCAAGAGCTGAGGCAGATGTGGCACTTCCTATGGCTATGATTAACTTTGTTCCTTCCCCTTCCCTCTTGAGAAAGGAATTCTCTATTCAATGGAACTAGGCACAGAGATCGTTCTCCCATCCCTAATCCCGCATCTCCTCATCACAGATTCCTTCCCTGCAGCCATTCCTCAGTCCTCCCTAGGAACAGCAGTGACCAAGCCTCTAAAAAGCTTTTGACATTGGCAGATTTCCTGTTCCTGTTCTTTTACAGATCGTGCTCTCCCTGCGATTTCCTTTTCACAGGATTCCTGCAAAGCCCTCATCTTAGCTCCCTGAAATATCATATACTTTAAATTTTTTTCCCATAGACTAGGAGACTAGAATTGTCCAGTGCTGTGAACAATGAGATAGTGCCCTCTGAGGCATGGTTTTCACCAGGCAGAATCAAAGTCCTGCAGCTTAACTCCATGAGTTCACAACAGCTCTGTTCTCCAGGATAAATTCCACAGAATAATCCTGATCTCCTTTTGAAGTCAAAAACACTATTCCTGCACAGACCAAAATTTTACAACTCAAAAGTTTCAAGCACAGATGGACTATGTTCATGCTTAAATAGAGAGAACAATCTAACTAGTAGTAAAATCCCATTGTAATACTTGTGTGCCTTTTTTTGTAAACACATTTTACAATAGGAAATTCCATGCCGAAATGATTGTTTATTCCCATTCCCAGCTCTAGTAATCTGAACTGTAACAAGATTCTTTACATAATTAAAAAAGTCAGCACTTCTATCAGGTTTTCAATAGCCACTTGGCTAAACACGTGCTCCTTCACATCTAAGTTGGTTTTTTTTTCTTTAAGTACTGATAGATTCTTTTGAGCTTGCAAATCAGCTGCTATCATACACTGTGCTTTTTATGAAGCATTGGGTGTGAATGAAACTTGATCAGCATGGAAAGGCCGTACTTTTTCTCTAATTCTGCAGTATCCTTATAGCAAGATACAATGAAAACAGGCACAGAAGACTGATGGAAAAAAGTGAGAATGTTAGTACTACAGGAGTGACATTTTTAAAACACTTCAGCTGTGACCATGTTTTGTTTTTTACCATGAGTGTGAAAAAGCAATGACACTTTAAACAGTATGAACTAAAGAAAGGCAGGAAAAATATTCTTCAACCATCTTCCTTTCACATTGTGATTCCAGTTTAATTATGGTAGGAAATAAATTCGTACAACTCTCCCCCATGGTTTGATGCCAGGGACATTACTCTCCTTGCTCCAGCAAACAGGTAAATGTACCCCAGTCACTGCAGTTCTCCCACTTGAGCTCAGACGGGACAGCAGCACCTGTTCTGGATTATCTCTAGAGATTAATTGCTTTTATATCTCAAGGATGTCTTTTCTCAGACTCCTCTCTTGCAGTGGTTTATTGTGCTGTTGAGACAGTTCTGAAACTTTCTGAGATCTTCCCCAATCATTCGCCACCAGCAGGCTGAGCTGCAGACAGTTCTCCAAAGGGTTATCTGCCTCCTAAGACTCATACCACAGACATAACTGCTAATTACCGGATATTCTTGCTTGAGCAATCAGCTTGATACGTTCATTAACACATCACCTAGAAATATAATTGCAAACCTTTCTGGGAGCTTTTATTCTACCTCAGATTGTTCTGAGATGCTGGCTAGGCAGGGAGACTACCTGCTTTATACTCTGTTTTTTCTGGGATGGGGTCATTCCCAGATACCTATCCTCAACAATTTACACTAGTGCTCAATTAGTATATTCACTAATAGACAATTAGTATATTTACTGACCAATCTCTCGATGGATGAGTACTGAATAATTCATCCTTTTTCACAGATTCAGCAGCTCCCTGACAGCAGTGTGGGTTATACGTATATGTAGATACTATAATGATGTTTTACTATGAAGTTATCTACTACTGACCGATTGTTTTCCTTCATTTTGCCTTCAAACTCTGTGGAGCTGGCTGAGGATGTAGTCAAAGCACAAGCAGAGAGGGGAGTACACAAGGCTAGAATATCTGTGTGATAATGCAGTACTATGCCACACCCTCTCCTTCCACATACACCTACTACAACTACTTACTTTTTTTGTTAAAAAACAAACAAAAGCTTTGGGCTTAAATTGCAGGCATTGAAAATTTACTCCTAGACTGAACGAGTTGCCCATTGTTACACCTTCCTCTTGCCCCACACGTGATCATACATTTAGATAGTGTCAAGGCCCAAACTTTCTGCAGGATTTCTGCCTTATTCCACACAATGACATGACAGAGGTGTAAATCTCAAGGCTGTTCTAGAGTTCCTGCCTGTAATATTGATTTTCTCACCAAGATCCATACACACACCCCCACAACTGCCAAGCTCACCCCCCCCTTGCTTAGCTGCAGCCTAGCCCTCTGCATCCGCACCCTGGCACTGTTTTGGACACATGCAGGTGCATCCAGTCTTGACAGCAAAAAACACTTCATGCTACAGTTTATTCAAATCCAAAAATGAGAGTTCTACCTACCCTGTCTACAGAGCCCAGTACGTGTTCTCTTTAATAACAGCTTAACTTGTTACTAGGACAACCAAAAAAAGGTGACATCACACCTACTTTTTACACTGTGTGTATGCGGAAGGCACCAGAAGATCCAAGCTTTTTCTTGTACTGCGTGAAAAGGATCTTACCAGGCACCTCTGATTCTTCTGTTACAGCAGGTACAGACAAAAAAGAGCAAGTGTAGGCATGGTTCTCCAACCATAATCCTAGCAGTGTGTAACTTGAGTTCACACCTGTACTCTCAAGATTGTCCTTCAGCAAAACACAGAGAGTCTCTGAAACCAAAAGAGGCAACTAGGATACCACTTCTAAGATCAGTGACCTAATTTCCAAAAAAGACAGTCCCCTTCCCACTCTATGACCCAACTGCTTTCTGAAACTGCAGTGGCGCACCCCAACAGGGAGCACAGCCTTCTGCTTCACTGCAGAACACTGCGGCCTCATGGCCACAAAACTCTTAGCTGTAAGTTCGACTCCCCTGAAGCAATATCACTTCACCCAATGCTCTTTTCCAAGCCAAATGCTCTGTCTCACGGGTTATGACTGACATATCCAATTTTGTAGGCATACATAAAGTCAGATTTATCTTCTGCAACTCATTCCACAAATACTTCTTTAGCAAAATCTTCTGCACATACTCCAAGTACACGCTGC